GAATTGTTAGTGCAGCAACATCTAGAGAGCCATAATTTCCTGGCAAATGTTACAGATGCTGAGACAATTATTTTCCTTTTCCCAGCCCTCTTGTAGAAGTACCCTTAAATACTTGGATATATGAAAAAGATGTGCAGGAACAGTTAAGGCGACTCAGTTCTTGGAAAGAAGAAGGCATGAGAAAAAAACCCCTCAAAATATGTCCTCTGATTCTGTTTGTTACAAAAGGAGGCAGGGGTAAAATCTGCAGGCTTTCGAGATGCTATTACATTCTCCTATAATCTTTGCACTGTTTCATAGACTGGCCTACCTCAAAGGCTTGACGTTGCTTAATTGCTGATATAATTTTCTTTGTACTGGTCTTCCAGTGTCTTTGATGCTGTCATTAATAATGTATCATTTGTACTTATTTAAGTAACATAAAAAGATTTAAAAGATATTGTAAACTTTCCTGAACGTTTGAGAGGTTAATTTATACATTTTACAAACCAGTCAACTATTCCCACTTATTACTGGTTTCAAAACAAATTATTTTATCCCTGATCATTTTTTGTGCGGCTCTTCTCTGTCACTGGCTAGAATCATGATGTATATCTATTTACTTATTTATTGTCTGATCAAGAAAAGTGTTAGTATCACCTTGGTTCTTGTAGTAAGGGCATTGCAGCTTTATATAAAATATTGACTTAAAACAAATCAAACCTATTAAAAGGAAATCCTTCTCTGAAGTATATGAATAACATCTTGAGAGCCATATGTTCTTTTTCACTTTTCTAGAAATCATTTTCATATTTTTAATTATTTGAATTGTAATGCATAACTAATGCTTTGTTTCCCAAGCTGCTCAAATCACTCCTGCGTGATAAGCTCAAACATTATAAGAAATTATTTTATTTGAATAAATATCACAGTCATTTTTATATGTGAAAAGGTATTTTATGGGGTTGATATCATAAAAAATATTATAGGTGCAAAGTTATCTCCTTACTAATTAACCAATTTGAGATTAGGCAACGTTGCCTTACAACTAAAGGCTACTGTATTGAGACTATAAAAATCCAAATGATCACTACATGCCATAAGAGTAATCACTGAGATCTTTGCATGTTCGCCTTACAATCTCACATCTTATCTGAAACTTCTCAGTTATTAGGTAAGAAACTGAAATGATTGAACTCTGAGTTGTTGAAGTCCCCCCCCCCCCTTGCAAACACAATCAGGAACACAGTCCCTGGTTAGCCTGATTTTTATGCTGGAAGCAAGTAAGGTGATTCATGCTTTTACAATAGATGATAGGAAGCAGCCTGATTACAGGGAAGTGCTTGAGGTGGGGGAAGTTTGCAGAAGTCATACATTAATTGAATCAACCCCACAGTAGAATTTATGTTTCTGTGTAATTATGCATTTGTATGTATATGTTCATATTTATATGTATATATTTTCTTAAATTGACATGGGTGGCAAGAAAAGAAGCAAAGTATTCCCCAAACAGTAATAATTCCTCATATTATTTAAAGTTTCAAAATAACAAAATAAACATAGGAAATCAATAATATTGCTGCAGCCAGATTTTTAAAATTGATTTACATAGCTTTAAAGCATTTAAATCTCACCTCTGGCCCCATTCATTTCCAATAACGAAATTAGGATCACAGGGTATCAGACTTCCTTAACAGAAGTCTTCATTTCATTCCATTGTTTATAAGTATTGCTTTTGTCTAAGCCCATTTTCTCTTACACACTAATAATAGTAAGACACTAGATCCATAAATTATAATGCAGTGAAATGGTACACAAATGTGATCATATATTATATCCTTTTTAATGTTACTCTAACTCCTAAGCAGAAGTACAGTCCCTCAAATTTCAAGAAAGGGAGAAAATTTTTACTTAAGTTTGAAGAATATTGTTATGTCAAAAAGCTATCATAAGGCAATGGTTAAGATCACATAAAATGTACAGTTAGTGGGAGAATATATGTATTAAGTTAATAAAATGGTTTTGGTTGGTGTATTAGAGGGAGGGAGGGAGAGACGAAGGAAGATCTCTGAATGAGATTCCCCCCATTTGCTTCAAATGAAATTGATTTATGTTTATTTTAAAAATCATATGGACTTTTTTTCTGCTGATTATGTATGATTTACAGAATTTGGTGTAATGTCAATTTTACAATGCAGTTGTCTGATTATCTGTTTAATAATAAGCTGTAGTTAATGGATTTTACTTCTAAGTAAATAGGTGAATAAATACAGTGAAAAATAAAGAGTGGTTGAGATTGTGTAATGGTCACTTTCACTCCTTCAGAAACTCCATTGAAATGAAGTAGTCCCTTTTAACCAATGCCAGGGACACATACGTAAGAATAGATCAAGAAGATTTAGGGGGGGGGGGAGTAGATGAGAATCAGGCTGATTTTGACAATTCTCTGACTTGCCTCCCCTCTCCTCCTAGATTCTGTTGGATAGTTGATGTATGAACTAAGAGGAAGCAGATTCTGAAATCTTTCTTTGGTGAAACTGTCTGACACTAAATGAGTTAAGTTGTGCAGAATCAAATATACTGGCCAATATAATGCACTAATAATAATGTCTGTAGGTTATAAAGAGGTGTACAATTTCAATTCTAACTTTGAAAATGAGTAATTTAAAGCATCACAAGCAACCTCCACCTTACTATATATATTATTTATCTACTCAAGATGTCATCTGGATATATAACCTGCAGAGGCACCTTTTCAGAAACTGTGCAGAGTTGATTGTTGAACATCACAACTTATGGAGCTATATCTTTTGTTTTACACAAGTGGATTGAAAGTGTTCCAGGGAGTTCTAAACAGAAGACGAAAATAGCGATCTGTCATCATATAGATATATTTCACTCTCACCACATAAATACAAAACAGTCAAATATCCAGAACATTCCAAATAAAGGTTAGTAGCAAGGGGCTCACCTTCACCCACAGATTCATCCATATTTTTTTCTGCACTAAGTGCCTAAAAATTCAGACGTAAATAATTTACAATAAAATTATTGACAGTTTTCATGTTATGCTCTCTCTCTCTCTCTCTTTCTCTCTCCTTTCTGTTCTAGAGTAAACTCTATACATTTCGTTTTATTGTTTTTTCTTTTTGGATTGAAATGTTTAGTGGCACGTATTTTGTACAGTGTAAACACAAAGTATCAAGAGATTTACAATCCTTCTGCTTCCAAAAACAAAAAACAGGCTAAAGTAATTAGTTATTACATGGTATATTGTTTTCATTTGCTGCTTCTGGCAAACTTATAAAATCATGTAAAAAGCAGCAGCAGCCAGGAATAAATCTGTGGTTAATGGGGAGATTTTCAAATAAGGTAAAATGACAATTTTACATAAGAGCACAAAATTAATACAAAATCAGATGAGACACTACTGTACTTTGCATTTTGCATTAGGTTTGCTTTAGGAATAAACATTACCGAAGAAAATCAGTCAAAGGGGGCAAAAATCGATACTTCCAGTTTACCTTCAATTTATTTAAACCGTTGAATATATGGTTTTAGGAGAGCGCTGAAACTGCAGGCACATCAGTAAATCTATAATGCTGCCTTGGGATTATTTTTTTGTTTTGTTTTGTAGAGATCAAATTCTGATCCTTTTAAAAAGCTTGTGTATAAGGATTTTTTTTAAAGCTCTATTTTTTTTTTGCATCCATATATTGTTAATGAGGGATGTGCAGAGGTGATAACATGTATATTTCTGTCTGGTTTCCTTCCAGACATTAACGAAGAAAAATGTTATCTTTTTGTTAAAATTGCTTAGACTTTAGCCGCAAATGCTATTAAGTCTGTAAGCCTAACGCAAAATCTTATTTTTATTTTAGGGGTGGGGGACGATGGAATTGGAAGATGATTGCAACATTCCTTAAACTGAACGAAGTCGGCGTTTACTTAAAGTGAGCTTTCATCATAAGCATTCTTGGGTCAGTAGTATTTCAAAGCTAAATCAGTTCCCAGCTGCGTTACCTGAAAGGACGGTTGGCTTCACTTCGGCTTACACCCACACTCACAACTTGGAAACGAGACTGGAATCCTAGGTATACTTACCGGAAGTAAATCCCATTGAAGTGAAACTGCTGAATACCCGCAGCGCCCCTCCTTCCACTTAAAAGTCAATAGATTTCGTGCCCGAGTTCAGCCTGGCATTGGGGGCATACGGACGTCGGGGGAGGAGGAGGCGCGCATCTTCAGGACGATGTGCAAAATAAGTTATCCCTTGGAAGGGTATTGTCGCCCTTGTTGAGGAAGAGGGCCTTTCTTAGATTTGTGCTTTAATGCAACACTTGAGCAACCAGCATCCACCAGGCATGAGCATCCGCGGAGCTACGTACCCCCGGGCAGTCCCCACCTTCCCTGCACAAAATACACTTCAGCTCCAACCGACCTTTCAAGCCTCTTCCCGAACACGCCCCTCCCCCTTCAAAGTCAAAGCTTTTTTTCTCGCGTTGGCTGTCAACTTGAAGGAAAGGATGTCCGCGTTCGGCAACTCAGAAAGACCCCTCTTCTCCTGTGTCCCCCCCCCCCCCCGAAACACGACGTCTCCTCGGTTTTAGGCTCCCACCCCGCCCCGTTTCTAAAACGCTCGCTCGGCGCTTCATCTCTCCCCCCCCCCCCCACTTTCCCCCCCCCCCCCCCCCCGCCTTCCCCCTTTCAACAGCTCGCGGGCCGTTTGGCGGGTTCCCTCCGTCTGTTTACTGCTAGCGCGTGACTTCGCCAAGTTGCTTTTCCCAGCCGGCGTTTCTCGAGGAGTTTGGAGGGTTGGGCGCGCTGGGGAGGCTCCCGGTTTGGAATGCGCGGGCGGGAGAGGGGGGCAGAAGATTGGGGGACCAGGAGCCGTGAGGAAAAAGCATGTGGATGGGCGCAATGTATAGCAGACCAGAGGGGGCATCTAACGCAGGGAGACTCCATAAATAATCAACACAGACAGAGAGGATAAATATAAATACAGCGAAAGTCCCCGACAGTCAGTCCAGCGCCTTTTTTTCCGCGCTTTCTTTACTGGCGGTCCGGGAGTAGGGCTCGAAGGCGGAGGAGCTGAGATATCGGGCCGACAGTTCTTGCAAGTTCCCGGCCAGAGACCCGGCCATTGCTAATGGGTTGGAGGAGAGCCGGCTGGCCACCGAGCCTAGCAGGGCGGGCACCGGGAGGCTGAAGAGGTTGTGCCCGCCGGGCAGAGAAGGATGAGTCGGGCCGGCGGCGGCGGCGGCAGCGCTGCTGACGGTCGGATGGTGCGTGGAGCCGCCCGTCGTCCCTGATCCTGAGCCACCCGTGCGGCTAGCGAGGCTGGGGGCTCGCAAGGCCGAGCCCAAGGCGCTGGTGGCGCAGGGGGGAAGAAGGCCGGGCAAACCGGGCGGGGAGAGCAGGCGTCCTTGTTCGAGGAGTCGCAGGACGCTGCATGTAGCCGCGGTCTCGGACACCACCGACTTCATCTCTGAGTCTTTGCCTTGGTCTTTTTTCTGCTTTGTGCGTCGGTTCTGGAACCAGACTTTGACCTGCAAGGAGGCGAGGGAAGAAGGCAGAAGGACAAAATCAGCGTCATCTATCGCGGCGTAGCAAGGGCCTCGGCCTTCTCAAGCCTGCAGGAAGAGAGGAAAGGCCGCCATTGTCCCACACATCGCAGTTTATCGGCCTCTTTCCAGAAGCCTCCACAGGACAGCGACCGGTTGGGAAGCTTCTGGGAAGAGGGAGATTTCTCCGTGGAAGCCAAGCGGCTTGCGGCGGAAACCTCTTGTGTGCACGTGTGCAGCCGACTGAGGAGCGCGTGCATATCAGAGAGCAAGTGGAAGAGCGAACGTGGAAGTCTGCTCATTTCCACGAGGATCGCGAAACCATGCTGCCCTCTGGAAAGTGCAACCCTTCGGCGTCGTGAAGGCACGCGTGTATTGTGGCCTTGAAATGTTTTGGGTAGCGGCTGGTTTCGGAAACCGCAAGAAGCGGCCAGAAAAACTTCGGCATGGAGGAGCGAGGATGGCCTCTCCAATAAAATGAGGTGAAAAAAGTTACGTGGGAGAAGCCGTCGCGCCTCGTTTTCCACACCATCTATGTCTGTGTCCCCACAGCTAGAAGTTTTTCAGAAACAGGTTTTTTTTTTGGGGGGGGGGGGGGGGGGGGAACCACAACGAATTAATTGAACCAGGCAACACTCCTATGCCCTTGGAAAGGATGCCTCTGAACACTATCCTCTTAGGTCCCTGATACAAGATGGTTTTACTTTATTTAGGCACTCCTACCTACGTTTGCCATTTTTTCCTTCCCATGGGTCTCATCTGCAGGCAGCAGCATTTGAAAGATTTTGGCTAATTTAGGTTTTCCCCTGAAAGGCAGAGCGCAGGCAGAGGTGTCACCCACCTCTATGCAAGCCTGAGCGATCCCTATCCCGTCAGCTACTTCGACCCTTTCCAGCTCTATCCTTCACTTAGGCTCCTATGGCAGGCCACACTGGCTGTAGAGCCCCTTTGGTTTGCCTTACCAGCCCGCCTAAATCTGACAGGCAAAGAAATGCTAATTAGCTTGTCAGAGAGGTTCATTATAGTACTTCTTTTCTAAGAACTACGAAACTAATTCCTTCCTTCCTTCCTTCCATTATTTCAAGCAAAAATAATAAAGCCACACCTACATTTTATCCTTCTCTAGTTTTTTCTGTTCTCCTTTGTGGTAAAACGTACAAGAAATTTCATCCTATTTCTTTAAATAATATATTTAAAAGCAACATGAACAGATAATATTTTTGGTAATGTATCTTATTTCTCTTTTTCAATCTGACTACCTATTTCAGGTTTTGACTTAACAATGTTTTCAATTTTCTCAAAGCATTTTATTTAAATTAAAATTAAACCATCACCACCCTGCATTTTTATATTATCTTCCCCACCAACTCTTTATTTAGCAAAGTACAATTTTCAGATGGCATTTTTTGCCTTTGAAGGAAGGGAATAAATGCCTCTCCCCTGTATAGTATGCACACAGACACCTGTGCCCACATGCATATACACACACATACACAGAGAAAATGGTCCCGCCTTTCAGATTCTCAACCTATTTTTCAGGTTGTAGGACTGAATGAAAGGAAAAAAACTTAGCTTTCAAAATCAGAGCAGACCTATTTGGGGCTGATCTCATTGTCATTATTGGGCCCTACTGGCAGGCATTCTGTCCATTGCCTCCAACAGCTAATCTGGTATGGGGGGAGGGAAGAGCAACAAAGTCCCTGATATTTAACACAGTTGTATTTTTCACTAGAAAGGGGTACTTAAAAGAATTACTACTACAAATGGCAAAAAAGGGGTACATTGAAGAATTTGAACCTTGATGGGAATACATGGGTATTTGCTGTTGTGCCCCTGACAGAAAACTGATGGGACCGCTCATTCATAACAGTTTCAGGAAACCCAAGTCAAGCGATAAACAGTGTGAGGAAAACAAAATCCATAATCCATAGAGGCAGTAACTTTATAAGACCAAAGGAAGTTCTGTGAAATCTTTGCGTAATATTTGATTTCAACAAATCTTCATCTAGCAAAGTTGGTTTAAGAAATGGGAAGGGGATTGTGGTCATTTCTGGAGGTATACCTGGACATTTTTATGTGGATGAAAAAATAGCCTTTTGCTACCCTTCTCACCCCTGTATTTATATATTAAGCCATTTTGGGTTCTCTCTTCTCCCTTGCTCGCTCTCTATGCGGGCGTGCACACACACATACCATGGCAGAAAGGGGAAAGGAAAATACTCATACCCATTTAAAAGAGAAGTTTCTTTTAAATGGAGTTCAATTTCTGATGATTTCAGAAATTTCTGACATCTTCATTTTGTGTTGGGGGAGAAGTGGCAAAGTTTTTTTTCTCCATTATTATCTTCTGGGTATTTTCTCATTTCCCTGTCTAGCCGACAACTCAGAATTCTATGGAGGAATTGCATCTACGGTTAACCAGGCCTAATCCTGTTACACCCAGATGCTTCCACCTGAAAATAAACTATCTTCATAAAGCATGTCTAAATATGCATGATCAGAATACAATTCTATTCATTCTAACATGAGAATGTATTCCTTGAATTAAGGAAAATTATTGTTATATATTAATTTATGCAAAAACATGAGCAGTTGCCTGCACTATCTCCTTGCTTTTTCTTTTTGTGTGTTTTTTAAGTTAAGTTGTTAACCAAACTTACAAAACAAAAAAAAAGGAAATCCAGCATAGTTCTGCAAAGAGATCTATATTCTTTTCATTATGACAATCAGAATACATTCTTATACCCTCTTATTTATTTTAATTTCAACAGTATTAAAACAAACAGCTCAATGTCCTTTTGTAAACAGTGATACTTAAGTATGCACAAATTTATCAGGGATTAACTCCATTAAAGCCAATTTACTTCTGAAGAAATGTGTACCTTTCAGTATTTTAGACCCAAAAATCGCTTAACCCACAACAGATCTCTGTAAGCACTAAATATTGAGATAGCAAATAAATTCAGTACTATTGTCACTTGGTTCCAAGAAATACTGTTTTCCCAACAAGCTACAGATTCTCTAAGTGATATTTTTTTGTGAATTCTTGTTCTTTTTTGAAATTTTACTTTCCCCTCGCTAGGATTTGGTCATATTTTGTTGAGAGGAAATCCTTGCAACTTCTGTAGTTTTTTCTCCAAGGTTGTCTTCCAGAAGCCCTCACTGCCTCTCTGTCTATCTGATTGTGAGCTATGAGTGTTTGGGAGGAGGGAGCTTCTTCAAAAGTTCTTGTACTTAACTACACAGGACTGTTTCATAGTTCTCAAACATTGTCCTAGAGGCTAATTAATTTTTCGGATTAAATGCTTACAGCGTTTATGAATAATTTGTGGAGTTAGAAGCAAGTTATATACTTGCAGTAAGTTTCATTTCACGAGCCCATTTATTTCTTGAGTTCTTAACCTCTGGGATTTAAGGAGGCAATTCACACTCTATTCCTTCCATTCCCTCCAGATATTTAGATGCCAATCAAATTGAAAAATTGTCTTTGAAAGGAGGAAACCTGCAAAAGCATGAAAAGAGTGGAATTTTGCATTGTGCCCTAAGCTTAGTTCTAGGGCTTGGTCATCTTTTGAGTAGTTAGCTGCAAAAAAAAAAAAAAAAAAGAGGCGGGGGAGACTGGTCTTCAACTCCAGCCACACCTATATAGGAAGCTACTCAAGTGTTAGCTACAGCCCGGCAGGCCTGGAAGTTAGTGAAAAGCTTCTCATCTCTAGGGAAGAGAACTGTCCTGCTCAAGAGTAGAGCTGGAGCTATCACCTCAGTTCCCAAACTTTTCCAGTTCCCAAACCTTTTGCCACTGATACATTTGTATCTTTAGTACCTGAGTTTCTGAGAGATTGAGCTGCCTGGCCAGCTCAGTTCTTTCCCGTCCAACCACGTATTGGCACCTCTGGAATTCCATCTCAAGCCTATAAAGTTGTTCGGCAGTGAAAGAAGTCCGAGTCCTCTTGGGGCGGTCAAGATCAAGGCCTTTTGGAAGAATAATCTCCCTGATGGAACCTTTGGCATCTGGCAAAAAGAGAAGGAGGCACGTTTACATCCAGAAGGAAGGAAGGATCATGGATCCAGTTTTTAAGAACTGCCTAGAGAGGCCACTCTAGACAGAGCAAGAAGCCACTCTTGGCAGGGACTGAAGGAGTCTCCAGGATTTCCTGCCAGCCCCATTCTCAGATTGTGGCTTATAAAGCACGCAATCCTCCTTCCCAGGAGAAGAGCTCTCACACAAAGAACTCCAAAAGACCCTCACAGGATTCAAAGCAGCCTAGGCATCATCAGAGGCCTATGCTCAGCAATCTCTGCCTTTGCACATTCACACTTGCTTGAGCTGCCCTTGATTTCCCTACAGGGAAAGCATTCAAGTGAGCCATCTCAAGAGCTGTGATGTCCACCTTCTGCAGCCCGCTCACTCTTTGGAGCTGCCTCCTTTTCTATGTTGATGAACATCAAGTTGTCCTCCATGGATGCCCATTTTCTGCTCCGCCTTGATCTCACTGCAGAGCTCACTAGCCTCTGGCTCTGATTCAAATTACATACCAGGCTTTTCCTTAAGGGTTTGCCATAATTTTCCTTCCTAAATCTATGAGGAAGGAAGCCTAGACTTCTAAGACTCCATTTCTTTCTTTTTTTTTTTCATCTGAGAGTGGTGGTGGTGGTGTCCAGGATGAGTTACTGTTTCCCAGGCCTGGTTTTCATTCATTCACATGTGAGCAGAATGAAATCTTTTTTAAATAACATGAGTACACACATCGATGTGTACTGACAGAAATGGAAAAACTGACTTGTTAGTTTTGGAATTTTAATAGCAGTGGAAAATTATTCTATTGTTTATTGGAGGAGGCAGAAAGAAGATAATAAATAATCCAGGTTAGAATAAAAACAAACAAAATAAAACCAAGGAAATAAACAGTATCATAAACAATTCATTAACCTGCATAATAATATTGAATAATAGCAGCAAACATCACCACCACACCACTTTCTGGCAGATTTTTTTATTGTAAAGTCCCTATCGAAAAAGCTGCAACCACCAAATGTTTGAGAGGGAATGGGTTCAAGGTTGAGGAATGCTTGGAGGAAAGGCTTGTCTTAGGGTGGGTGGGGGGGTCGCTATGTCCTCAGACTAGAAAGAATTTCCTGCTGCTAATGGAAATCAAAGAATGGGACAAAAGTACTAGAAAATAAGAGAAGCCCCCAGTACATTTCAGAGTAAGTCTCTAAAGGTTATTTTTCTTCTTCCATCTCTTCTTTTCTTTTTGCTTACCTTAAAAGGGGAGGTGGGTTTCCCCTTTCCCTTTTTGTTTTTGTTTTTTGGAGGGCAGGGAGAAATTTCAAAGCAGCAATCTTTTGCAAAAGGCTGTGACTGAAAACTCCTATGGAGAGGTAAGTTCTATGAATTGAGTCCGATGGGTCTTACTCGATTACAAGTAGTCAAAAGAATTGTAGGCTGAATCTAATGGGATCAAAATAGGACTTAGCAATCTTTCCTGCCCTTAAAGCAAAGATACATTAGTACAGACGAAACGCGACTAAGGTGGGTCTTAGTTTTCCCTTCCCTCCATACTCGAGAAATTCGAAGAAAAAGAAAACCTAATCTATATACATCCGCCCCAGCTAAAATGTAAGGCTTGGCATTGGAGCCCTTCACAATCCTTGACAATCCAAATTGCAAAAATATTCCTAGACCTGAGAAACGAACCAAAAACAGGATGAAAGAGATAAAAAGAATGAAACGAAGCCTTTAATAAAATCACAGTAATTCATTTGGTTTTGAAACGAGGAAAACAAAAACACAAAAAAACAAAAACCGAAAGTAAAAACGAAAGGAAAGGAAGCAGGCGGGCGGGAAAAAGTCGTTAATCAAAATTTCAGAACGTAAAGCGACGGTCCTACCTCGGACTAGTATTCTTCTGCAATAATCCGGGTCAGCGGAACTGGATTTATTTTTACCGCAATCTTCCGAGACGCCCGATGCCGAAAAAGTCCCTTGCGGTTCCTTCAAAAAAGAATTCGAAATATTTCCTTCGGAGCTTTTGCTTTCCTTGCCTTCTTTATGCCCGTTCTTGGAGAGCCGGTTGGTTTCGAGCTCTGAATTGCATCTAACGTCCATTTTGTCTTGTTTCCCAAACATGTGGTGCAATATGGTGTAGAGGTTTGTTTTGTTTTTTTAAGTAGAACAAAAAAAAGGAGGCGCGGGATGAGGGTGGAAGGGAGTAGGAAAAGAAGAGAAAACTGATGAATATCGCTCGGCGTACGACCAGTTCGGTGAGTAACAAGGGAATCCCTCGAAGGCGAGAGTCGGCTGCTCGAGAGGCAGGAAATCGGCCGCTTCCTCAATCCCAGCGTCCTAGTGCGAGTGTCCAGCTTCCCCGCGCCCCAATGATCAGGTACTCAACAGTGCAACTCTAAAATGATTTAATGCCTCCCTTATTACAGAGAGAGGGATGCAGTTGTTAGACACCCAGAGGGACGCGCATTCGCTGTTTCAATTGATTACGGGTAATTTTGCAGCCTCCACATTTAGGTTACCTCATGAATACACTAAATTGTTTGGATAATATATCACTTCGTAATGGGTGGTTTGTATGCTTGTCCCCAATCAAGTCGAGTTTAGCCAGTGAATAAACTGAAATGATTGGCCTTGCTTTCAGGAAACACACAATCAAAAAGGCTGAGATTTCCAGGAGAAGTAGGATCAATTGAAGGAGCGGGAGAGGGGGCGAGGGAAGAAAAGGGAGAAAAAAAAAACTTTTGACAAGATTCAGCCAGAATTGTTAGGGGCCATTAGCAGCCATTATTAACTTTCTCCAGTTTGGCGTTCACCTTTCCCGATTTCCGAAGGCGTTCATCCCAGACACGCCTCAGACAGAAATGCAGATCTATTTATAAATAGGTCTGGAAAAGGCTCCGCCAGTTTACCAAAAGGATCTTGGCAGATCTCCTCCGCAAACAGCCACCGAGTCACTCTCACCCCCGTAAAGGGGAACCCTGTCAACCATTTGGGGGAGGGAGAAAGGCTTGCCTTGGTGCGGATTCCAGACCCCAGAAATAGGAAACGTTTTGTCTCCCTGTTGGAGATGTGGAGAAGAAGGCGAAGAGGGTGTTACATTGGAGGGATCTCCTAAACGCTCCTCTCTACTGCCTACCAGCCATCTTACAACTCTTTTCTCTCGTTAATTCAATGCTGATACATGAGGGTGCCCCCTCCCCATGCCTTTCATAAAAATTGAACACATTTCCAGAGCTTCCTTCCTCCCTCCCGCTTCCAAAAAAGCCTGCTTTGTATCCAGACGGATCCAAGAGAGAGAAAGAGAAAGAGGAGAGTGCGGGGCAGATCTCAACTGCGTGATCTACTAAAGGGGGCGGGGAGAACGAGAGCGAGCGAGCGAAAAGTTTCCCCCGGGCTATTTCATTGTCTCCGCTACAATATCTTTGAGAACCGCAACAGCCAGTAATCCAATAAGACCATTGATTAGACGACAATGATTCAATTCAAGCGCCTGGCTTTGTGCACAGAGCATGCTCCAGCCTTTCTTGTCACCTTGCAGGGCAGAAGCCCTCTTCACGCTGCTCTCCTCATTCAGGCCTTTATGGGAAATGTAGAGTGAAATGTAGGAGTGAAAGATGGCAATTATCTAATTGGACTATTAACAAACAATTCTCCGAGTGTGGCTGTCTGGCATTGGTTCTTGGGCGGGGTGAAAGGCCGCCTGTTGCACTGGCCCCATTCACAAAAGAGTTGCAGGGGCCAGGCGAGAGGAAGAAAGCCAGGGAACTTCTCACAGAAAATCCGAAGGGGCTTTAGGGAGATGTCCTTATACACACACACACACACACACACACACCACACCAGCCCCTGCCCACCCGAAGCTGAAGGCACTTCTAAGGAGAAAAGGCGGTAGTTACACCGAAGTTTACATGGCAACTTCTGGGCAAACCTGCCATAAATGAATCCACATTCAGAAGCCCCCTGAACTAGACACCAGCTATATCTGTGCAACATATGCCAAGAAATAGATATTTTCAGTGGCTCACACCAATTGTAACCTTTCTTTGTTTTAGTAACTCATTGAATTGAAAAGCTTTCCACCACTCTTCCTACAACCCTCTCGTACAAGGGTCTGCCTCTGGAATCAGTTGGCCGTAAACACCTCTTGTCATTAAAATAATTTCCACTTTAATACACCTGAAGCACTAGATATCTGGTTGGCAGATGCAAGCTACTTTCATATTTGAGTGAAGGGGTCCTAAGTGAGGAACCTATCTCCATAGTAGTGATGAAATAGGATGCTGTCAGTTGCGTTTAGTGTTTTTATATATATTATGTATAATTGAGTTTGTTTTCAGTGATAAAATATATAATTTGGTGTAAACAAATGCATACTTGATTTCATTGAGATACTGTTATTCTTACTATTATTTTTTATAGGTTATCTTTTTGCCTATAGAGCACTTGAATAAATAATCTCATATAAATACATAATATACATTTTTCTGGGAAACGGAGAGAAATAATACGTAAATGGACTGAGAACAGCTATGATATTTAATAGATTATCAGTAAGATTTAATGCCTGAATATTTGTATTAAAGGCTATACTTACCAGCACAGAATATTCCTCCCTTCCTTGTGTCAAATGTGGAACTAAATACACACACACACACACACACACACACACACACACACACACACACATCTGTAGATGCAAGCCTATTACACATCTTTTCTTCAAGAGTGCAGCATGATGTACATGGATCTCACGTCTCTCCATACACATTTTGACCTCACAATAATCTGATAAGGTAGCTTATGCAGATAATGAAAAAGTGACCTAATGCCATTTAGCAAGCTTCATGGCTGAGTGGGGATTACAATCTAGGTCTCTGAGTCTTAGTACAATTTTCTAATGCAAACTTTCTCAAGTGGGTATCTCCCAGATGTACTAGATTACATTGTCATAATACATAGTTCGAATGGCTAACAAAATTTCTGAATTGAAAATATGGGAACTGAAGTCCAACATAACCGTAGACCAACATATCAATATTGCACCCATTCCTGGATTGGAAGGCCCGCCTTATAGTCAGTCATGCTCTTGTCACTTCCACCTTGGACTGCTGCAATGCACTCCCTACAAACAGCTGTCTTTGAAGAGTATCTAGAACAGGGGTGTCAAACTGGATGTCTTCAACGGCTGGATCAGTATTGTGGTTCTCCTCTGTGGGCCAGTGGGTTAGGGAGGTCTGCGGGCAGCCCCCCTGCACCTCGTTATGTCTTCCATGGCTTCCTGCAGCATTCTGCTGGCTGAAAATGGGCTGCATAGCCTGTTTTGGGGCTGTTTTTTGACTGTTTTCAGCTTGTTTTTCAGCCTATTTTGGCCTGTTTTGGGGGGCATTTTCAGCCCATTTTGGGGCCATTTTCCGCCTGTTTGGGGCCCAGTTTTCAGCCTGGTTTTGGCTGACAGAGTGCTGCAGGAGGCCATGGAGGATGAAAATGAGGCATGCCCCCCCCCCTTGCATGCGACCCATTTTAGCCCCCCAAGGCATCGTGGGCCAGTCCCTTGATATTTCCAGACTGGCCCTGTGGACTGGATTTAAGCACCCTGCAGGCCAGATCCAGCCCATGGGCCTTGAGTTTGACACCCCTGATCTAGAAGCTTCAGCTGGTACAGAATACAGCAGCATTGGCAGTAATGTACACCCCTGATCCATGAGTTGCATTGGTTGCCAGTTTGTGTCAGGTATCATCAAGTCAAGATTCTGGTTTTAAAGCTCTTCAAAGCTCTTCATGGCATGTGACCAGATAATGAGAAGGGAAAACCCTTCTTGGAAATATCAGCCCACCAAGATCAGATCTCAAAGAGAAGGTATTCTAGGGACCTATCCATAATTGGTATGGAGAGGCAGGAGACATGATGTGGCATCTACCTGATGAAACATCCTCCCCCCCCCCCAAATGAATTAGATTTGCCCATTCTCTTTGGTGTTCCAAAAGATCATCAACCCGGTAAGGTTCCTGAGGGGGACCATTTTTATCTTCCCTTTGCCTATAGTTAGTATAGTTAGTATTTTTGTTTTTATGATATTTATTCCTGTGCTTTTCTAGATGTATATGTTCTTTTTATAGTAGCTGTTTTATCTAATGTTGTGCCTCCCAGAATCATTTCAGTGATATGGGCAGCTCTACAAATTTGATTAATAAATACATAATAAATATCTGGAAGTCAACAGATTGGGGAAGGATGTTCTAAATATTAAATCTTTCTGGTTAGTTTCTGTGGCCTTCACTAAAACCATCATAGAAATACAAATACCTCTTAACATTCCATGTAACTAGTTAGAAATTATAGGTTCATTTCATAGTTTCCAGTCTTGGGTATTTGATACTGTATTGGATGGTGTGGTATAGGAATATTATTAGTGTACCTTCTGTAGCTCTGCACTGCAGTGTCTTTTCCTAACTTAGCTAACCTAGGTATCTTATCCTTAGAAACTTCAGTTATATGGTAAGGTTGCCTCAAGATTTCATGGCTGTCATGCACTTGAGGGATCACTTTCCTAATGTGAATCTGACCAATCACCAAGATCAACAGAGAAAGCACTCTGAAAGAGATCTTCACTGTTAGAGGTTCAGTTCTCTGCAATTCAGAAGGCCTTCTCTTATATGACTCACTGGAAGTTGGACTTGACCCCTACTGTCCCACATTTGGAAAGATGGTAAAGACACATTTCTTTCAAGTCCATTTGAAGGTTCTTATTTTTTTCCCCAGATAATAAGTCAAAGGGGATTGATGATCTGAACTGTACTGGTAGTTCTAACTGGATCATAGCTAACCTGGTGCCTATATATGCTTCCAGTCACTTAGTGTCATGGATGGGTCAAGCCACAATCACTTGTGCAATAGCGATAAATATGTATTTTTAAAAAGTCTTAAAAGCTTGTCCCAAAGGTGCTCTTTTGAAGAGACAACTGGGCTTCCTGGTTTTTCTTTGAAGACATTTCACTTCTCATCGAAGCTGTTTCTTCAGCTCTGAGAAGAAGCTTCTTCAATAAGAAAGAGAAATCAGGAAGCCCAGTTGCCTCTTCAAAAAAGCATCTTTGGGACAACCATAACCTGGATGACTGAGAAT